AGTAGATGGAGGCTTCAGTGAACCCTGATTGTGCCACTGCACTCTAGCCTGGGAGAAAGAGTAAGACCCTGTTTCATTAAAAAAAAAAAAAAAAAAAAAAAAAAGACTGGAAGTACTGCACCCATCCACATACGTTTAGAATTTCTCCTTTGGCATTATTAGATACAGACTGTGCCAGTAAGAAAACCCATTGCAAAGAGCAGAGAGGACTTTATTTGGGGGGCAGGGAATGGTGGTATGATTTTAAATCATGATTTTCATATGCATGCATAAGGAGTACAGGGAATTTTATCCTTCATCTTCTATGGCTGGCCATAGATAGGATAAAAGGCTTCCAGTTCTCAGGAGCAAGTATTTCCCTACAACTGGATAATGTATGCTAAGATAACTGGGGGTCTATAGTGCTTTAGGACTTAGTGCATGGATGTACCAGAAGCTAAAACAAAAATAGTCACTGGGATAATTGGAAAGCACAGGAGTTGGGCTTTATGAGAAAAACTGATTGCATTGAGTTCACTTAGGTCACAAAGTACCTCTCTTTAGTAGCAAATGCTGCTTTACTTTCTGACTTCACAGATATAATGCCTGGTGGCTATTGGCCATTTGCAAACAGGCTTCTCCTCAGAGAAAAGGACTGGACCCTCGAGGAAGGAGAAATCTAACCTCAGAACTTGCACAATTTCTAACTATACCTTCATCACCCCAAAAGTAGACACTGCACACATTCTTCTGTCTCTCTTGGTCTTTGGTTCTTCCTCTCACAGCCAGCCCTTCCCAGCTCAGTGCTCCTTTATCCGCAGGCTATTTGTTGCTGTAGTTGCTGCCAACTTGGCTGGTGAGAAGCCAGGCCTGGAGGAAATAGAGGGTCCTGGCAAGAACATGGACTGAGGGCCCCCACCAGGTTAGCTTCCGAGTCCTGCAATGCACTGTGCTTCTGTCTCAGTTGGCTTGGGTTGCTATAACAAGACAACCATGGACTGAATGGTTTAAACAACAAACATATTTCTCATCGTTCTAGAGGTTGGGAAGTCTGCCATCAGGGTGCCAGTATGGAGGGAACCCTTCCTTGTTTCCTCATTTGAGGGATTGGGGTTGTGAGAGGAAGCGAGCTCTCTCCTCTTTTTATAAGGGGAAGGGAGAGGGGCCTGCACTAATCCAACCTCATGACCTAATTACTTTCCAAATCCCCATATCCAAATAGTATCACATAAAAGAACAGAGTTTTAACATGAATTTTGGGTACCCAAACATTCAGTCCACAGCAGTCTGTATTAAAAAGTGTATGCAATTAGAGGCCATCGTGGGGCTCCCAGGACCTGATTAACAAAAGATGGTACTATCTAGGTATAGCCTAAGAATATGAAAGGGTGATAGGAATAGAGAGTTGGGTAGGGGTGAGGTGCAGAGGCCTTTAGGGGCACGTTTGAAACAGTTCTCCCAGGAAAGCATTCTAAAAATCCTTGGGCTTTCTTTGGATCAAAAAAATAAAACTTGGCCTTGCCTTCAAACTGTACAGGCATCTTAAAGCTCAGAACAGGCAAATTTCTCACAGCACCTGCACCTCCAGGAGTAGAGATTTTGGGGTGACTGAAGCTCTTGGAACAGAAGTCTGTGTAAGATTGGCCTGGCACAGTGGCAACCTGGTTCCTGAGTCAGACAGCTTCCCAGTACAGTGGCTTGCATTGCCAGGGTTGTTCATCCTACTCCATCATCTGTCTCTGGTCCTTCCTTCCATCCCAGCATGGGACACTGTAGGATGAACAGTCTTGCCTTCAGGACTCTTGCCTCAGTGAGGCCTGGCCTCAGTTTAAACCCAGGGGAATGTTGTAAATATTGAATTGGCTCCAGAGTGAAGGAAATATTGGGCTTATACACTGACTTGACTTATACACCCTGACTTCTCTTTTCTTAGGCTTCTGGGTTCCAACCGGAGGTTGCCGGTAACTTCATCTTCTTTTGCATTGATTTCTGTCTCTCATAACCAGATCACACTTCTAGTTACAAAAGGGATAGAGGAAATTTACCACCAGTTTTCCACACAGAAATAGGGGAGGCCTGGAAAGAAAGTTCAGATGCTGGGGTCCAGGAAAAGTGAGCCTGAGGAGGTTGGTGTAGGAAATGTGAGGCCCAGGGGGTGAGAAGCTGCTGAAAGGGAACCCAAGAAGAGGGGGTGGGGACCTAAGCCGAGGCCCGCACACTCACGGCCTGGCGCCTAGGTGGCTGGTGGAATCTGTTATTCTGTTGGGTAGTTGTTCTGTCCTCTGTCAGGTGGCCATGAGTGGAAACTAATCTTCGGGGCCGTTTGTCTTACCTTTGCAGGAAGCACAGCGCATGCACCTTCTCCCAAACTTGCTTTCTTAGCTGGGAGAACCGAGCTGTGGGCTCGAATCCGCTCATGCCCTGGAGATCTGGACCAAGCTCCGACCGAGGCTTAATGGGGAAAGCTGAGATGTACCCAGCAGGGGACTTTGGGTGACAAACTTTTCGGAAAGTCGCCAGATGAAAGTGTGGTGCAGGCTTGCGCTCTTTTGGGTGCAGTTCACGGGACTAGGGCTCCAGGTAGCCAAAACAGTGAATTGAGATTCCTCCCCGCCCCACACTCCCCACTGCAGGTTTGCTGTGGACACAGGCTCTGGAAGACCGGCTCGGCCTTGTAGCAGAATGTAGACCAGGGCGGGCGCGACCCTGGCGCATAGCGCCACCCTTTCCTCTCTCAGCGGAGCTACGGAGGAAGGGGGCTTGGCAACTCAGCTCATGGAACAAGCGCAGTGCTGTCTTTCGTGTTGCACTGTTCAGCTTTGGCAGCTTTTTAAAATGGCCCCATACGTAACCCTCTTGTAAAAAAAAAAATTAAAAGTTTAATAGCATCCACCCTACACGCTTATGAGCACCAATGGAGATTTTAAGCCCCGCGCATGTGGGCACATTCCTCTGCCCGCCCAATCCCCAATCCTCCCACTCCAGTATGGAAGACAGTTGGGCATTGAGGACTGGTTTGCCAAATTCAATCACTGTCCACATCAGCTGGCCACTTGTCTCCTGTTGGTGAGCCCTTGGCTCTTTCTAAGTTCTTGGAATCCAGAAGAGTGTATCTCGCCATCCTCCAGGTTGAGGTAGACTAAAGTCTGAGCAGGTGTCTTTGCCTTCCTGGGTCATCCCTAGGCAAGGATTTAATCCCCAGTTTGGCTCCTGCAGGAGTCAAGAGGGAAACAAGGATGGTTACTTCAGTGCAGGCTGGGCTGCAGAAACCGAGAGAAGGGAGCAAAGTCAGGAGGCTGATATCAGCTCCAGAAACTGGGCCCCAGAGTCCTCTTGACCTCCTGGGTTTAGACAGGGGGCTGATAATGCAGCTGGGGCAGGAACCACTCTTGTCCTCTTTCAGCAGACTCCTAGGGAAAAGGAAAGCGAGAAACAAGCAACTGAATTTGCTTTGGAGAATCTTCATCACTTGAGGAATGGGCTGTGTATTTGCATGGTATGGGGGGACTTACAAATGGCATTCAGCAGCAGCAATGTGGCTTAAACGCTGACAGCTTTGCCATAGACTGAAGAAGGAACAACACCCAGGTTCAGAACCGTCCTACAATCATCCACCCCAGAAGAAGGTGATTTCAGTCAAGTAGACCATTTTGAGAGATACTGTGACTGTTCTCAATATCTACTTTTAGGGTTGCCTTGTAAGGATCTGCCTACCCACCCTAGTTAAGGGAGAAGTATGTAACTTGAGCCTAGAACAGTGGGGAGGGGATGTGTTCAGCCCCGGACAGTATCTCATATAGTGTGCCCATGTTATGCACATCTATGTGTGACATCCTCTTTATCACAGTGGTTTTACTACACTTTCCAGATAACCTTCTGTTTTACAAGTTCTTTGATGTTAAGTACTCTGGCGGTGGAAGATTACAAACCTGAAAATTCTACATTCGTTTTATATGCTTTGCATCATTGAGATGGAAAACCTTAAGCAGGTACTCGATAATGGATAAGGCCATTTCTTAGCATCAACCTTGGCTCATTTGAATTGACCTTATCAGTCAATAACACGGGCCGTTTCATAAACCAATGAATAATGTATTATAGCTTAGTTTAAAGTTTCAAATATGTTTTTAGACAGAAACATTCCAAGAATGCAAGTCAGGTGTATTTCCCAGATAAATAACAGTCTGGGGGCGTTGAGTTCAGGGAAATTCTCCGTTCTCGAGGAAATTCTCCGTTCTCAGGTTTCCTAAGGTTGAAATCCAGCGCGCACATCATTAATTATTCGTTGGGGTCGGTCCCTCAGTCAATGGCAGGTCTGAGTAAGCTAAAGCGAGCAGTTAACTAATCCTTCCTGCCACGGGGATCCTGGGGCGAAAGAGGACAACTGGGCGGTCAGTCACACTTGCTGGTGGCCAGGCCCTGCCCCTCTTTCCCCGGTCCGGGCGCAGGGGTGCGTGTGCCCTCACTCTCACGAACACAGACCGAGAGCTTCCCAGAAGGAAAAACAAATTCGTCATAATGTTCAGCGCAGCCGAGAGTTTCCAACAAGAAAGCAGCTCCAATCGTGGCCTGATGACTCAGGGTGGCGTTTTAAACGCCGAATAAACCCATTCCTTAGCTCTTTAATAAATCGGTAACAACAACAACAACAACAACAACAACAGCAACAACAACAACAACAGCCTTCTCCCCCAGCCGCGCCACACCAAAGGCTTCCCAAGTTGGGCTGCGAATCCCTGTTTGGTTTTCCAACGCTGAAAGCCTTGGAAGCAGTGCGATCTCCTGGCGGGACGCGGTTCTCGAAGGGCTCCCGGGGAGAGGACAAGATAGCAGGGTTTACAGGGCAAAAAGAGGAGAACCTGAAAATCGTGTCCTGGGGGGCAAAAGTGCGTCGCCCAGTCACAAGTGTGCTGTAGAGGTGGGAGAGGACGAGGATCCATTTCCACATTTCAACACCCCCGTTTCTGCAGCTGCCCCTGGAGGACTCAGCTGCTCACGCCGAGCTCCTTTCCACGCGGCTCTGGCCCTAATAGGGGAAGCCGGGTGACCGCGCGACCCGTGAGAAATGCTGGGGCGCGTGGCCCTGGTATGGGCGCACCCAGCGTCCGGGGCGCAGGTTCTCTCAGCCCAGCTTCTCCTCCCACTCACTTGCTCGGATCTCCTCCCTCCTTCACATCCCCCGCCCCCGGGACCGCGAGGCTCCCTCCCCGCACCGGCCAGTGAGTACACAAAGCCGCGGGTGAGGGGAAGCTTCGCAGGCGTGCACGGAGCAGTGAGATCACTGGCGTTATAAATATCCCGGTGCCAGCGCGGAGATCCGCTCGGGTGGCCTCTCTCTCCCCTTCTCCCCTTCTCTTCCCAGAGGCTATGTCCACCCAGTGCGGCGAGGCGAGCAGCGCCAGAGGCACGCAGCCGCAGAGGGGCCACAGAGCCCAGAATCAGCCCTGCAAGATGCACTTAGGACCCCCGCGGCTGGAAGAATGAGCTTGTCCTTCCTCCTCCTCCTCTTCTTCAGCCACCTGATCCTCAACGCCTGGGCTCACGGGGAGAAGCGTCTCGTCCCCAAAGGGCAACTCGGACCCGCTGCCACTGATAGGAACCCTAGAGGCTCTAGCAGCAGACAGAGCAGCAGTAGCGCTATGTCTTCCTCTTCTGCCTCCTCCTCCCCCGCAGCTTCTCTGGGCAGCCAAGGAAGTGGCTTGGAGCAGAGCAGTTTCCAGTGGAGCCCCTCGGGGCGCCGGACCGGCAGCCTCTACTGCAGAGTAGGCATCGGTTTCCATCTGCAGATCTACCCGGATGGCAAAGTCAACGGCTCCCACGAAGCCAATATGTTAAGTAAGTTACTCGCTCTCCTACAAAACCCGTCCTAGGCGGGCAGCGGAAGATTTGGGAGGGACAGCAGGTATTTCCCGGGCCACAGGCGCACCTTCCTGAGCCCAGGCCACTGGGACCAACTGATACTCAGAAACAGCCAGGCGTGTTGGGTGGAGATGCATCTATATGGCGTTCGCACACGCACCCCTCTCCTGGTCATGAGGAATTGCGATTTCTGAGGTGTATGTTACCTAGAGGCTGGTGCCCAGACGGGTACCTTGTTTCCAGTTTGCCCTAGCCTCAAAGACGAGTCTCCAGCCATGACGAGAGAGAACAAAAAATCTCATTTCTTCTCGTTCAATTTGTTTACCTTCTGCTTATGAACTAGCCTGGCATTTTTCATTAGGCATCAAAGTGCAGCCCTTCTCCCTATCCATAACTGAAGTTATTTTTTAAAAAGAAGAATCAAATCCCAAATACTTGCCTCTTCCAACCGCTACCATAAACCTCACATTAATATTGTATATGTATATGCATACATGTATATATGTGTATGTATACAATGTATACACATAGGTATATAGAGACACAAGATATAGACAGATAGATAGATAGATAGATAGATAGATAGATAGATAGATAGATAGATAGATGACAGACAGATAGATAACTAGGGGACACCAGACAGACATTCCTGCTTGGAAGAAGATTGTGCTCTGGAAAACTGGACACGTTTAGAGAGGGAGACGTGATGAACATTGAAATTACTAACTCCAGAGTTGGATTTAACAACGTTTAGTATCTTGAGACCATGACTACACCGTGTTAGGAGAGTGGCCAGCCTTTGGTTCCCAAGAACCGTTAGGGGAAAGTTCTTTATTTTAGAAGAAACGCAGAGGTTAAATTTGGTAGGGGTGCAAATTTTGTAGGACTTTTTATAAACAAAGTTTTAGATTTTCCCTCTGAGTTTTTTTCTTTTAGCATGCGCTCTTTTTTCCTTTCTCATCTCTTCTTCCCTTCCACCCCATCTATGTTTCCAGACCATGGCAGCCACTCCTCTGGTTTCTCTTCACTGCCTCTAGGCAGCTGGGGGCAGAGGAGATTTGCCGCTGTGTGTAGGAGTGGAGAGATCTCTGTGGGGCTTTTGTTCAGTAGGGCCAGATCGCTCTTCCAGCGCGGGTTGGTCCACCAGGCAGAGCTCCAGCCAGGGCCTATTAGGTACCCAGGGAGAGCGGAAATGTAGCCAGGAGACAGCAGCGCGCACAGTCACCTGTCTTTCAGTGTCAGCCTGGTTGCTCCTAGATGTTCCTAACTTGCTCCATCTCAGACCAACGACTCCACGGGCCACTGGGCTCCTTCTTACTACACAGGCTCCAGAGGAGCGTGGACGCCACCAGCGGGCTGAAAATTTGGCAGCCAGCAGTCTCCAGAGCGGGGTCGGAGGTGCGCAAGTGGGTAAGGCGGTAGGCTGACTAGCCTCCTCCCGTGGGTTAAGGGGGCCTAATGTGGAAGACCTGATGGTTCATGCTGAGAGAAAAGCAGGTCTATGCCCGCCGCCCTGCGCCTGTCTAGTCTATCTGATCTCGCTGATTCAGCAGCCTGTTGCGCACGTGGTGAGGGGGCCTGGAGCGCCCAGCTGGCGAGAGGCCCTCCGCACACGCACCACGGAGTCCCAGGGCCCCCCTCACACTCTCAAGAGGAACCTATTTGCATATTTTAGAGTTTATTTCGCTCATCGAATAACTGCTCATTTGGGGGATAAAGGGCAAGATCTGTTGGGGTGAAGGGGAATTTTCTGAGATTTGAGGAATAACCAGGAACATCTATTTATTTCCATTCATCTTTCTCACTTTGTCTCAACCATCTCTTGACTCCATTAACCATCACAGCTTATTCCCACTTCCGGCAACCTTTCCTTCTCTCTTACAAGAAAACTTTCTCTCTTCAGTTCTTCTTGTGATTTATCCAGGAATCAGCACCAACAGAGGATAACTTCTGTGAGCTCAAGGGAGGACCCCTAACTACCATGCAGCAAGCAGCAGGTTGGAGCCCAGGGAGCTCAGATAATGCTTCTGGGGAGGCTTTAGGTGTGCTAGAGATCTTGGAAAGCAAGGCTCATTCCCAGGATATTAACCATCTTCTCTAAGAAGACACGATATGAGACAAAGATAGTTTTACAGCTTAGGCCTTGCTAGAGGGGATGTTGTAGAAAAGCAAAGGGGGGAAAACAAGAGCAGATCAAAAAGAATGCACCCAGATAAACAAGACATTGACCATTACCCAGTATGTAAAATGTACATTTTCTTTTAAAATCCATGTTGAAAGATATCTACAAGAGAACAGGGATGTGTCCTAAAACAGTGCCAACAAAAAACTTAATTTAAACTTTTTCCTAATTTATTCCTGTTTACAATAACCTTTCAGAGTTTAGTTTCTGTGTCTTTCACATGACTTGCTTTCATTCATGCCATAAATCATGTACCCAATATAAGATACCTATCTCATTAAGCACGATATTTTGGTTACTTTTGTGTTTGTCTTCCATAGAGTTTTTTTATTTTTATTTTTTTCCTAGAAGAAAGCATAGCAAATATTCAAATCATAGTGATTTTCCGCTTTGTGATATTTGGAGTGTCTAATACTACTTCATAAAATTTTTACTACCATTGATCAATGCAGAATTTGCATGTAATTTGAGAATTTAACATGGATCTCTGCCATTATCTAGCTGTAAAAGAGAAACAGAAGCTAGCTAATTACAATCAGTCATTTACCTCTTTGAAGGCAGCATTTGATGTTTCCTGACATTCATGTAAACTAAGGTGTTGGCCATGACCTTTCTTAGAGTATGTGAGGAAATGTGTTTAAATCTCCTAAGAGAGGCTGAGAGGGCTGGGTCAAGGGCCGTAGAGGATACCTCAGTTTGATCTCATCCTCTAATTCTACTGTCTGTGAGTCAGCGATGACAGAAAACATATTCTTTTTGTTACAAACCTGATACTTCAGAAAAGTCAAAGCTTTGCCATGAAACTGCATTCTAGCAAGTTATTTTAAACCTAATAATATTCTGTAGTATTTGTCTGATAGAACAGATAATCATATGTGTTTCACAACTATTATTTGACAGTAAGCTTTTTTTTTTTTTTTTTCAAATTGCAAATATTTTCTGGTTTCACCATGAGAAGTACACCATGGCCATGGACTTTTAAATATTACTTGTTTAGTTTACACGGACCAATTAATATATTCTTAACTTCTCTTATACAATAGTTATCCCAAGTTTTGAAGACAGAAAATGAAATTAAGCTCATTGTATATAAATCCTTATTATGAGGAAATACTGTGGAAAAATGAAGAAATATGAACAAGAAAAGATAGATGACCCAACTATTGCATGGAAAAAAGGGTTTGCATTAATTTATATGCCTTCAAGTTTAATTTGAATACAGTGCTTCTGTTGACTTACCTTGGGCCACTGAAGAATAGGCAATCAAGTAGTTTTCAGTTTAGGGAAGAAAAGTTTAAGGCTTTGGCTATACAGACTCAAAGCGTTTACATAAAATATGAAAATTCCAAGCACACATTTTGGCTAATAGAATCATCAATGTTACTACTTTTTAAAAAAATCTAAACTCACTACCAATTTTGGGATCATGTGGAGTCATTAGACAGTCCCCCAAGCCTAGATAAATCAGAATCTATATCTACTATGCAGAAAAATCAAGTGGAAAATTTCAGTTGCTAATTTAATCAGTGAAGACTGCTAAACTGAATATTTCAAGATTCAGATTTGATAACTTGGCACAGCATATCTGTTACTTTGTGGATGCAAGTAGAGAAACTTCAGTTTTAAAATATTTTTCTCTGGGGATTTTCAGATGGGTTGTTGAAAGCTTCTGAATACATTGAATATCTGTGCTTTTCTATATTTTATTCATTAACAAACGAGAGAAAAAGGAAAAATTTGTATAATTGTATCAACCACTATCAATAAAGCCCTATTATATTAAGAAATCTGCAGAGGACTAAGTCAAAAATCTAGAAATATTTTTTATGGAAGTAAACTTACATCATAATGCATAAGTGGAATTGACTGTGTGTATAAGCTGAGAGACCCCAAGACATTCTTGCCTTCTTCAGCTTAGGTGTCAATGCTGAAATTCCACAAAGAGAGAATAATTCCTTCTGTTAAGCATTCTCCTCTTCCTTTGACCCTCTTAAATGGGAATGCCTTAAGAAAAATAACACACTGTCAGTAGCACTTTAATGTGAATTTATTTACACTGAGCCACCCCTCTGCCCCATGCCTTCTCAAGCAGGAGAAGGCCACAGTAGCAGGAGAGTACTAAGACACCTGTCCATACTTGTGTACGCATAGGGTGTCCTGATGAGAGAAAAGAGAGGTAGTGAGAGGATAAAAGAAGGCAGTCAAATTTAGCAAACAGTCATTGACTATATACTATCTATGAGACAAGCTTGGCCTTCCACAATTTTGCTTAGAAATACTGCCTTGGCATCCATAGGGAGAATTGTAAGTTTCCATCAAATTTAATATATGTGACTCCCGATGATAAAGGTCAGAAAATTGCTGAAATTAAAAAAAAAAAAAATCAGTGTCAGAGAAATGTTTTCTGAAACTTATATATTTGTGATTTAAGGCCCATGGGTTTAAAAAATTATGTAGAATTCCTGAATGAGCTACTGAGATTTGTCATAGTAAAATCAATAGGCCTGTGATATTTTGGGGAGGAGGGCAGGAAACTGAACTGTGAGACTCGTTGAATCTGCTCCAGAAAACAAGGCATTGTGAAATCACTGCTGACATTACTTTGGAAATTATGATCATAACAGTGTTCTTAATATTACGTCATAATTATAGTAAGATTTAGAAGATCAATACCAAAGTCACGCATATGAAAAATAATTCATTCATCTAATCTCATCTCTTATATCTCTTTCATTCTTTATAATATTAAATAGAATGATATAGGTAAAGTGTATTTTTAAGCTTTCAGTTAAAGATAATTTTCTTAAAGTTATAAAATCCTTTAATTCTCAGGCAATATATCATTTTTATCCTGGAACTTTTAAGAAGAAACACTGCAATATGTAACACAATAATAACACTTTCACATATATTATTTCATCTTCCCCATATTTAAAATACATTACATGCAAATTGTATATAATATTTACACACAGAGTGTACACTGTATTGAAATACAAGTTAAATGCATCTAAATGGATATTTGTTTAAAAAGAGAATAAGCTAATTATCAGAAGCTATTTATTTAAGCAAAGCAGTAGTATTTCTATTAAAACAAATATTTATAAAGCCTTTTTATCTCAACATCTTAAAAGTTAGCATACAAACACATACACTTATGAGACTTTTATGTTTTACTCTACCATGTATTTTTTCATTAATATACAATATATCTGCATGTTCAAAACCAGATCATTTTCCAGAGAATGGAATTGAAAGCCTCTAACAATTTAGTACCATGATTAAATTGGAGTAAATATATAACCAAATCTCTCCTCTATCAACTCCGTGTTGCCCCTTTTGTATCTATCATTCCACACATATACAATTTCTCACTTTCTTTCTTTCCCATTTTTGAATGTACATGTTTACATAAATATTCACAATCACATCCCCCATCTCCCAAATATCTAAAATCATTAATGCTCTTCTCAATATAATTCCATAATTCTGATAGAAATTTAACTTGGTATCACTGTTATAGTCATGCTTTAGTAATAATATTATCATAACATATTACATCTGTGTAGAGTATTTAACTTCACAAAGCATTTGGTGTGTTTTGTTAATATTTGATAAAATGATATGCTTCTAAACGTTTAGAAGCACACTCAAATAATGTTTATAATAAACTCTATTATAAATAGCATTTAAAAAACATTTTGAAGGAAAGGATTTATACGACACTAGTGGTTTTGTTTTTTCTTTTTTTTTTTTTTTCAGTTTCCTTCTAACAGCAAAAGTAGCTTCCAATAGTTTTTGGTTTTTGTTTTTCAATTTAAAGAAACACCTATTAATGAACTGGTACCTGCAGTTTCCCTAAGGTGTGTTTTATTTACTTTGGGCTAAAAACATTTATTTTTAAAAAAGTTGTTCAGTTATCCCCTTTTTCACATAAACTTTCTAATCAAGTTTTTTAAGAAACCAAGTTGAATAAATAAACAGCAATGCTTGCTAGAATTATAGATGTTAGCTCACATTGCACAATATAAATGCTCAATTTTATAAAATATTTCTTATTTTTGGTAAGCAGAATAATTTTATATGTGCCTCAAATACTGCAGGGAGAGTTTGCTGTTTCAAGAAAATCTGATGAATCTCTCTATTTGGCAGAGTCCTATTGAGATATCCTAATTAGTATATATGCTCAGAATATTTATAGATGGAAATATTGAGATGTGCTTTTTCTCTTCCCCTCTGTTCTTTATTTCCTTCTTTTCTTCCTTCCTTCCTTCTTTTCCTTTTTAAAAGTAGAGATGCAGTGTCACTATTTTGACCAGGATGGTCTTGAACTCCTGGTATCAGGCGATCCTTCAGCCTCAGCCTCCCAAAGTGCTGGAATTACAGGCGTGAGGTACCGCACCTGGCTTCCCTTTTTCCTTTCTAAGACAGGTCCCTTTTTAGCTCTATTGAGCTAAAAATCTTTTTTTGAAATAGACAACTTTTGAAATTTTGAAATAGACAACTAATAAAAAACATTGTGCTCTTTTCATGTTCATATAAAATACATAATTTATTTTAAATAAGCAGGCTTTCTAATTAAGTGCAGACTATGTGTTTTATCTTATTAAACTACTCTATGAACTTTGGTGTGTAATTCTCTTGATCCAGTGGATGTGAACTTTGAAATTACTGTAGGAGACAGGGAACATTGACTTCATAATGCTAACTATGAAATACAAACTATAAACAATAATGTAATAAATTATCTCATTAATTTTTTTCTAGGAAATGATTCAAAATGCCAGATGTCTCAAAGCATAATCCATTAAACTTTCATTGAACCAATAATTTTAAGTTATTTATAATGCTTTCAGTATCTTACATGTAGTCTTTAAATGCAGTCACTAAAAGACTGAGTATAGTATATGTTTATTTGTAACTACCATTATAACCATGATAATTAGAGTAGAGGAATTTATTTAATGTAAATAAGTATTATTTTCCAGACTTTCAAATAGTTATACTAGTCTTGAGCACAGATTTGTGCTTTAATATTCAAAGTAGTGTATTATCTTTGATGAAGAAATAATGGAGAAGAATTATTTTGCAAAACATTTTTTAAATGTCTTTTTAATTTCTTTAGAACCTGAGAAAACTTCGTGTTCACTGTGTACTAAAAGTGACTTATTTGTCCAAATAATTACTGATGAAGTAGAATCAAATTTTTGAATATTGACATTATTTTAAATGAACACTTGAATCCTAGCCTTCTTTGTTTTTAACATAGTAAATGTCATGAAAAATAAGGATGTTAAATACTAAGTTCTTTTTTTAAATCACAATAATAAAGAATGGAAAGAATCTATGTAGAAATTTAATTCTTCACAATGATATAAAGAAGAGCCTGTGTTTTATTTTGGGATTTCTGTCATCCTAGGTATTTTGGAAATATTTGCTGTGTCTCAGGGGATTGTAGGAATACGAGGAGTTTTCAGCAACAAATTTTTAGCGATGTCAAAAAAAGGAAAACTCCATGCAAGTGTAAGTAGAACCACTTTATATTTGTTAAAGGTGCTATAAAGATTTTACATTTGTAAAACAGAATAATTTTCCAAGTTGGTAGGTAAGACAATTTGCCCAAAGAACTTAATTATTTAAAAAGCATATTTACATTTAACCAAGGGAATTTTGTATGCTTCTAGAAGTAATAATTTAACTATTTAATTTACTTAAAAAGATATTATAGAGTCTACAAAAAGTTTAAGCCTAAGTGTATTTGAAAATAGCGTTCTCAAAGGGGTAGCCATCCACTTGTTTCTTAGAAGTGGCCCACATAAGAAGAAACATGGCAATAATATATTTCACCACATTTTAAACTTACAAGTTTATAGTGATTGTGTTTGTGCTAAGTAAATGAGGTTCTTACTTAATTTTACAAGCTACTCATAATACCAAAAATCGGGTCTCAGTAATGTAAAATATTTTCATATTAACAAGTAGGGAGGGAAGAAACCAATAATTAGAAGACTATGACTTTCATAGACAAATTTTAATTAATTTGAAGAATTTTTATCTTGTATTTTTGTCACATCAAAAATAACGATTTCTTAATACTATGAAAAGTAATTTTGCATTCTCAAAAATTTATTCAGACCAGTTTTATATATTGTGATCAGTTCATAAACTATTTATTTGCTTTGTTATGAAAGTTTCCATTACCTGGGAAGTATTAAAACATTTTAAAGATGATAAAATATGTTCAGCTTAGTTTTCCCACTCACAGATTCTATTTATTTGTATTAGTATATACACACGGAACTTAAAGGTGCTTTATGCTTTTTCTGTGGCATACTTATTTTCTTCACATTAAAACATTTTGAAAGCAATTATTGTTTAAAGTTAGTCATTTAATTCTGATTCTTTATAGTCTTTAGTAAATAAATTATTGGAATATCACTTTTTCAATTTTCAAAGTTATAGAAAGTTTCAACTGATAGCAATCAATTGAAACTTACTATATATAATTTTATTTTATAGATCTTTAAAAACTTCAACGAAAACGCCACTTGGTTTAATGTGTAAGACTTTTATAATTTTACTTTTCTTAACATCTAAAGTGATTTGTTAATATCTTTTGGAAGAGACAGAATTTGAGCAATTTCTGTAATTACTTGAGGATTCGATGAGATAATACATGCAATGTGCTAAGAATACTATCTGGTGTGTTGTAAGTGCTCAATAAGTATTGCCTATTATTATAGGGTAACAATCTAAATATAATCTAAATATAATAAATTGCTAAAATATCAGTTTAGCAGCATAAATGGAAATCCTTTGTTAAATTCTTAAATCGCCTATTGCAAGAACTATTAAACAATTTACCATTTCATTTTTTGAGCTGGTTACTATGCTCTAGCAAACTGTAATATAGTATTCATAGAAATATATTTTTAAATTTTTTTCATTTATTTAAGGGACAACATTCTGCATCACTGTGAAAAAAGTAGGGTATTACATGTTTTAATTTTATTTTTCATTTCAATAGGATTTTAAGGAGCAGGTGGCATTTGGTTACATGAAAAAGTTCTTTAGTGGTGATTTCTGAGATTTAGGTGCACCCATCACCCCAGTAGTGTGCACTGTACCCGATGTGTAGTCTTTCATCTCCAACCCCCTCCCCTTTCCCCCTGAGTCGCCAAAGTCCAATGTATCATTCTCAGGGCATTTAATTTTATTTTAAAATATTATTTAAAATTCACATACAGATGAGTTCTCATGAGAACTGTATAAAAGCAAAAAAAAAAAAAATCCACATACAGAATAGAAAACAATGATTAAACACATCTGAACGGAATAACTTTTCCTCAGTCTACTTTTAAGTTTATAAAAGATTAAAACACCTTCAAAATCTAACCTCATAATAATACACAGTGCATGAAAAGAAACTTTCTCTTACTGGTTTGTTTTGAGTGAAAATCTTAACTTTTAAAATATTCTGATTTATGCCATAGTACTTGCAAAAAATAGACTAAACTTGGAACAGCTTAAGGATAATTGCCCCAGAAAGTAACATATTACAAATGGAAGCCAATTAGAAAGGTCAAACTGAGAGGTTAAGATACATGATTCCTCTGTCAAATGCAAGTAACAAATTTCTAGAAATTTGACCCAAATGTCTAAGGATGGCTGGTTGAAATAATGCAGATAATGCAAAAACAGCATCTGTTATTCTTTCTCATCTTGGCAGGCTAAAGTTATTTCATAGAATAATGACTTTTAAACAGTACAAAGCAAGTCTTGCTCTTGTCACTCTCTGAAGCTCTTTGATATAAAAGTCATTCTGATGACTTTGAGCTAAATTGTAGATAAAAATATTAAGCCCTATGATTATGTGGATTCTTTTTAAACCAATTATCCAAGCCCACTTACTCTTATCTGAGCTTTTATTAGCACTTTTCCTTTAGGTGAAAACCTAATTAAATTATAAAGTGATTTATTTTTTAAAGACGTTAAATTTAGAAATAGTATTAATGCTAGTAATTACTAGTTTTATGCCCACTTGATTTCTTTCCTGTTTTCACATTCTAGTTAAACATGTTGGGAAATTGTTCTTGTAACTCTAAATATGACTATTTGATTTAGTTAATAGTTTTGATTTTTACAGCTTTACATCATCCCCAAAAAGGTTAAAAACTCATAGACTTTTAGGATTAAACTTGTAATTTGTGAGTTGCTTTAATTTAAAAATTTTGCAGAGGCATTTAAAGAGTACTTTTAGGGTTCTATCTACAAAGCAAATGTAAACTAAAAATATAAAACATTAATAGAATTCTGGGAAAAGTAATCCCCCATTGTACTGAGAAATATTCATTGATACTTGTAGATATTCAACTCAGTTTTTGTAATAATAATCAGAGTTCTAAAAATTAGCTACTAGGCAGAGATAATGTACTTCCATAGCTCTTTAAAAGCTCTTTTGCTCACATTATCTCATTAGATAATGAGGTGACGAAAGAGTCTCCTAGTTGTTAAATTATTTTCCCAAGGTTACACAGTTAACAAGTGATTGAACCAGAACTATAGCCTCCCAGAATTTTCTCTTTCTCTTTAAATGCTATAGTGCTTGGTAAATAAAAGTTAGCTTCAAAGAAGATATTAAGTTTTGTTTGGAACCAATTACATTGTTTTCACCTCTTAGTGTATAGAAATTAATATGTGCATGAAAATATTTTTGTATTACATATAAAAATGAATACTGTGGCACATCATTAGAATATTTATAGCACTCTATTTAATAGGCAAATAAACAGGCAATTTGAGATTTATAGTTAAAGTTGCAAATTTCCTCATTCTAGGTACATGTTTTTCTCTTTGATTCACATCTCTTTTTTGAACTGGCATTTCCCCCATCTCCTGTGTCTCCAGTACTTCACTTTAAAATCTAGAGAAGAGGGGATGTGTCGCCACAGAATTTTACAAATGTTGGTTATTCATTGTCAATGACAGTTGCATAGGGAACCCCTCCCTCCCAAGATAAACTTTCAAAACAGAAAAGAGACCTATTTTGCTCACAGAAATCTTCATTTAGTAAATATTTTACTGTTCATAGACACAAATATGACACACTGAAAGGGTAGCCCAGAGCAGATTCAGGCAGCATTGATGCTGATTCCATTTTTGTGCTAAATTTGTTAATCCCATCAGAGAAGTTTTATTTGAGCTTCAGTAATCTAAATGTGTGGGGCTCCCTGGACTCATTCAAGCCCCTGGAGCCTGGCACATTTAAATGTAGCAAACCTGCACATTGTGCACATGTACCCTAGAACTTAAAGTATAATAAATATATATATATATATATATATATATATATATATAAAGTATATGTGGCTCCCTGGACTCATTCAAGCCCCTAATCTACAGGCAGCTCTCCTTCAAACTTTTATTGGCATACTCTAAATAGGCAGTGCAACTAAATTCCTATCATGCAGGTTTTTCAGCATTCTTCACAAGGATGAGGATGTATGGTCTTCTCTTTGTCCAAATGTATCAAAAATCATCAAGAACAGGAGGAGATAATTGCTTTCCAAAGATCCATGAGGGCTACTCCAAGCCACAGCTGTGGCCTTTACCCTCTTTCTCAACACATTCCATGCTAAGGTACCTTCTGAGACTGAGCACTCTTCCTGCCTTAACCGTCTGTCTGTCCCTGCTCCCTCCTCAGGTTGGCATCCTTACTGAAAGTCCCACAGAGAGCCTTTCTGGATTTATCTGAGGTGGGTCCAGACTAGGAGTCAAAGGCCTTAAGTGTGATGGTAAAGACAGTTAGATTGCCCCCAGGCTGAATCCTACTCTACCACTTCCTAACTGTGTCATTTTACTTCATCTTTCTACTCCTTGGTTTATCAACTACAAAAGAAGGAAAATTGAAGTCGCAATCTATTGGGGTAGTTAAGTGTTTTAAACAAGATAATGCATATAAAACAGAGTACTGCCTGCAAAGTATTCCACACTTAATGTTTAAACAGATTTTCCTGAATTTGCTCTCAGGCAGCTGTTTGACAATCCTTAATCTCTTTCTTTCTGATTTTGGGGTCAGGCAGCTGTGACCCTTAAATTATTCAGACCAGCCTCAACTCCGATTTATCACTGATCTTTTCTTCCCCGCACCCAAACTTTGTGTGCTTATAGGTGTCCCTTATCTACTAGGTTTTCCTTTCTCCCAGGAACCTAATTTCAAAGCAAAATTTCTAAGCTCAACCTCTTAAAGAGGCATGGATTTCCTATGGTCATAATCTTGTGATTTTTTTCGTAGCTCTGTTGTCCATCTTGATTTTTCCCTAAAAAACATAAATCTTGGAAAAGGTGATTATCATGTATTCTTCAGTATACTTCAACATACTTCATAAAGTATGCAGAAAGCTCATTGCTTATTGGGGAAAAACATGTTAGCTTATTTTAAAGATGCAGAGAGAAGCATGTGTTGGAATTATTTTTGTTTCTCAGGGTTTTAGGGGATCATGTTTGAAAGGAAAGCTAATTGC